CATGTCATTCTACTTTGATCCATTCTCTCTAAATGACCAAACCACCTCAACAACCCCTCTTCAGCCCTCTGACTAATATTTTTATTAACTCTGCACCTTCTCCTAATTTCCACACTCTAAATTTTCTGCATAATATTTACATCACACATTGCCCTTAGACAGGACATCTCCACTGCCTCCAACCGCCTCCTCGCTGCTACATTCACAACCCATATAAGAGTGTTGGTACTACTATACTTTCATACATTCCCTTCTTTGCATCCATAGATAACGTTTTTTGTCTCCACATATACTTCAACGCACCACTCACCTTTTTTCCCACATCAATTCTATGATTAACCTCATCCTTCATAAATCCATCCGCTGACACATCAACTCCCAAGTAGTATCTGAAAACATTCACTTCTTCCATACTCCTCCTCCCCAATTTGATATCCAATTTTCCTTTATCTAAATCATTTGATACCCTCATCACCTTACTCTTTTCTATGTTCACTTTCAACTTTCTACCTTTACACACACTCCCAAGCTCATCCACTAACCTTTGCAATTTTTCTTTAGAATCTCTCATAAGCACAGTATCATCAGCAAAAAGCAATTGTGTCAATTCCCATTTTGTATTTGATTCCCCATAATTTAATCCCACCCCTCTCCCGAACACCCTAGCATTTACTTCTTTTACAACTACATCTATAAATACTGGACCCCTCAACCAGCGATATTAATCCGTTCCTGAGAGCTCATCTTTAATCGAAATAATCGTTAGTCAAGTTAATTTTCCCCATAAGAAATAATGGAAATCAAATTAATCTGTGCAAGACACCCAAAAGTATTGAAAAAAAAAATTTACCACATGAAATATTAATGTTAATACACACAAACTGAAGAAGACATGCACAGTTACATGACACTTACCTTTATTGAAGATCTGGTGATGATTGATGGGATGGGAGGAGGGGAGAGCATTGATCTTCTTAGTGTTTAGAAGGGGAATCCCCTTCCATTAGCACTTGAGGTAGCAAGTCTTTTTCTGGGGTTAGTTCCCTTGTTCTTTTAATGCCACTAGGACCAGCTTCAGAGTCACTGGACTTCTGTTGCACAACATGTCTGTCCATAGATACCTGTACCTCTCGTTCCTTTATGACTTTCCTAAAGTGGTTCACAACATTGTCAGTGTACAGGTTGCTAACACAGCTTGCAGTAGCTGTGTCAGGGTGATTTTCATCAATAAAGGTTTGCACTTCAAGCCACTTTGCACACATTTCCTTAATCTTAGAAGAAGGCAACTTCTTCAATTTCTGTATCCCCTCCTCCGAAGCAGTTTCCTCAGGTCTGCCCTCTTGCTGTTCAAGATGATCTAGCAGCTCATCAGTGGTTAGTCCTTCATTGTCCTCCACCACCAACTCTTCCACATCCTCCCCACTAACCTCCAACCCCAAGGACTTCCCCAATGCCACAATTGATTCCTCAACTGGCATAGGATTCTCAGGGTTAGCCTCAAACCGTTCAAAATCCCTTTTGTCTACACATTCTGGCCACAGTTTTTTCCAAGCAGAGTTCAAGGTCCTCTTAGTCACTTCCTCCCAAGCCTTACCTATAATGTTTACACAATTGAGGATGGTAAAGTGATCTTTCCAAAACTCTCTTAGAGTCAGTCGAGTTTCTGAGGTCACTACAAAGCACCTTTCAAACATGGCTTTTGTGTACAGTTTCTTGAAGTTGGAAATGACCTGCTGGTCCATGGGCTGCAGGAGAGGAGTGGTATTAGGAGGCAAAAACTTCACCTTAACCCTTTGAGGGTCGACAGGCCCTCTCCGAAACTCGTTCTCAGGGTCGGCCAAATTTCAAAAAAAAAAAAAATTATTTTTTCTTATGAAAAAATAGAGTTTTTTTTTCTGAACATTATAGGATAAACAAAAAAATTTTACCATCAATACTTACGGAGATATGGATGCATGAAGTTTGCAGAAAATGAGCCGCGTATGGCAACAGCGGCGACTGCCGCTCACCCGGTAAACTTTGATTTACTTGTATTTGAAGGTTTGTTGTTTTTTTCACTATTTTATTTTTTCACATAACTTATGTGGCCTATGAGACCAAAGTAAGGTGCAATGTACATATATACACTCGTTGTATACAACACAATAAGCACACAAACATAATTATCAATATATTGTTTACAAACTTGTTTACAAAAACAAACAATACAAAACATTGTTTATTATTATTGTTCTATAATATATATACCAATATACAGTCACTGAACATATTCCTATTAGTTCTGCAGCTTGTGGAACTCTGAAACATGGTGTCATACAAAATGGTTTTTATCTTTCTCCCTCATTCTATCTCTTTCAATCTGTCTCTCTCTTTCTATCTGTCTGTCTATCTCTGTCTCACAGGTACACATAAATACAAGTATACATAGTATAAATTACCTAGGATAACCCAAGAAATCCAGACAAAGTGCTATACTCTGCTTGAAGATGTGAGTAAAAGTGATGACACAGTCTTGTGGCTCTCTGAGACAGAGAGCTAGACGGATAGACAGATAGACAGGGAGCTTGACAGACAGACAAATAGACAGACAGAAATGTTAGTGTACCAGTACCAGTGTACTAGTGTTCCACCCTCCTCCTCCTCTTCTTCCTCTTCCTCCTCTTCCTCTTCCTCCTACTCTTCCTCTTCCTCCTCCTCCTCTTCCTCCTCCTCCTCTTCTTCCTCTTCCTCCTCTTCTTCCTCTTCCTCCTACTCTTCCTCCTCCTCCTCTTCTTCCTCTTCCTCCTCCTCCTCTTCTTCCTCTTCCTCCTCTTCCCCCTAATCTTCCTCCTACTATTCCTCTTCCTCCTCCTCTTCCTCTTATTCCTCTTCCTCCTCCTCCTTCTCCTCCTCGTCCATAGTGTAAATTACAAGGAGTCGGCAGCTGTCAAAGTGACATATTGGCTCATTACTCTTTCCCCCTCTGGCCTGTCAAAACAATGGGGTCGGATGCTGCTTCCCCTCCTCCATTCTATCTAATTATCTTTCTCCCTCATTCTATCTGTCTGTCTATCTCTGTCTCACAGGTACACATAAATACAAGTATACATAGTATAAATTACCTAGGATAACCCAAGAAACCCAGACAAAGTGCTATACTCTGCTTGAAGATGTGAGTAAAAGTGATGACGCAGTCTTGTGGCTCTCTGAGACAGAGAGCTAGATGGATAGACAGGGAGCTTGACAGACAGGCAAATAGACAGACAGAAATGTTAGTATACCAGCAAAAACAAAGGGAGGGGGATGTTCATCTCATCTTTTGGCATCAGCTCTACCCTCATTTACCCTCATCAAAAGTCAGCACTTATCAGATGTTATCTCCCCTTATCTTGTTACTGTCATGGGTGAACATTTATTATTACATATTATTATTATTACCTATTATTATTATTATGTATTATTATTATTATGTATTATTATTATTATGTATTATTATTATTATGTATTATTGTTATCATTACGTATTCTTCTTCTTCCTCCTCCTCCTCCTCCTCTTCTTCCTCCTCCTCCTCCTCCTCCTCCTCCTCCTCCTCCTCTTCTTCCTCCTCTTCTTCTTCTTCCTCCTCCTCCTCCTCCTCTGCCTCCTCCTCCTCTGCCTCCTCCTCCTCTTGCCTCCTCCTCCTCTTGCCTCCTCCTCCTCTGCCTCCTCCTCCTGCTCCATTCTTGGAACAAGTTTGAAGAGCTTGTAGTTCATAATCACTATCATTATCATCACCAATGCTCACATCTGAGTCTGGGATTTTGGAAAATAGGAGTTTCCTCTTTGATTCTGGTACAACTGAACGACGGCCCAGCACCAGAGGTGGAAGGCTGTGGGTTGTCTGGGGTTTCCTCACTATTACCCATATTATGGTCATTAGTTTCGGTCAAAACCTCACCAGAACCTTGAAACTCATCTTCACTGTCACTTCCATCTGTATTAGAACTGTCACTGGGGAACAAAAGTGTCCCAATTTTGCCGAGGAGTGAGGAACTTCTTACCGCAGGGCACGGTGGAAATTGTGTACTATGATGGCATTCCCACAATGCACCACTGGGTCCCAGATTTTTTTCCTACTGCGCACACCCACCACACAGACCCATTCTCTCACATCTAGGCTTATCAGCCTTTTCCTGCGAGATTTGAGGCCGCTAGAATTTATGCGTACTAGTACGTCAAAAACCCCTACGCGTAAGACGTACTAGTACGACCAAAACCCTCAAAGGGTTAATGAAGCTCATGTCCCTAGAAAGTCGCTCTGCCAAGTCTGAAGGATGACCAGGAGCATTGTCTAATACCAGGAGGCACTTAAGGTCTAATTTCTTTTCAATTAGGTAATTTTTCACATTGGGGGCAAATGCATGGTGTAAAAAGTCATAGAAAAAGTCCCTAGTGACCCATGCCTTACTGTTTGCCCTCCACAGCACACACAAATTAGCCTTGACGACATTGTTTTTCCTGAACACTCTGGGAGTTTCAGAGTGATACACCAATAAAGGCTTCACTTTGCAATCACCATTAGCATTGGCACACATCATCAGAGTAAGCCTGTCTTTCATAGGCTTATGTCCTGGGAGTGCCTTTTCCTCCTGAGTAATGTACGTCCTGCTTGGCACCCATGGGACAAGTGGGGCGAGCTCAGGCCAAAGTGGACACGTCTTGAACGGAACGAATAGCGTTGGTCAGGTTTTTAAGCGCTAGTCGAGGCAAAATTTTTGCGTTAAAATGTACTGCTAGTCAGATTTATCGTTAACTGATGCCATCGCTGGTTGAGGGTCCACTGTATATTAAACAACCACGGTGACATTACACATCCCTGTCTAAGACCTACTTTTACTGGGAAGTAGTCTCCCTCTCTTCTACACACCCTAACCTGAGCCTCACTATCCTCATAAAACTCTTTACAGCATTAGTAACTTACCACCTATTCCATATACTTGCAACATCTGCCACATGTATATGTATATATTTATTTTCTTAGGGGAGGTACATCATCTCCAGAGTGAAGTTACAAGGTACGAAACACAGAGAGAAACCCTGGCACAGGAATTAGTAACAGTGACAAGTCAGATAGATGCCCTGCAAACTCAAGTACAGAATCATCAAGCACTGCAGAACCAGTATGCAGACATGGAACAAAAGTACAATGCTCTTCTTCAGGTATTTAAGCTTTTTTTTATATTTAAATTGCTAGTTTTAGGCCTTATATTCATTAAGTTTCTAACTTGCAAATGAGATTTGTTTTTGTATACTGTATTTAGTTTCGCAATGAAGTCTTGTTGTCTGCTGATCTTGTAACTGTCCATAGACATGTTTTGCTAGACATTTCATTATGATAAGCAATGGATTAGCTGGTTCGTATCTGTTCTGTTCTCTTCAAACTCTTTTCGAAACTGCTGCTACAATTGTATTTTATGGGAAAAGTAAACCAAATCATATTTTTTTCCAAGTAGCATATATGCATAGTTTAGCTACAAATTCAGCCCTGTCAGAAATTGCCATTTCCCACCGAGGGAGGGCAGGAAATGGGTGATATAGTAAGATAAAAAAAAAGAAAAAAAAAACTTTTTGTAGTGAAAACTGTCATCTTCATGTTTTTAGTCAGTTAATGTATGGTCTTTTACAGATGTATGGAGAAAAGGTGGAGGAGGTTGAGGAGTTGCGGCTTGACCTGGCAGATGTGAAGGAAATGTATAAAGCTCAGGTTTGTTCATCTCCATCTTAATTACTTAAATATTTCTCTTAATATTCCTGATATTGTAGTAGTACAGGCACTAATTAGATATTCATGACTTGTTGCATAAAGGTCTATATTCTTGTTTCTCATTCCTCTAATATTTCTTTCCAATTAAAGAGATCTGGTCCACAAGGATAATCCCTGGAACTATTATGAAATATATAATACTCCTCAAATCCTTTTAAAACATTAATGTACAGAACAGTCTGCAATGTTTATTTTAATTATGTATTATAGTGGTAAAAGTTTTTTTTTTAATTTCAGATTGATCAGCTCCTCCAGAAATGAACCTTCCAAAAATATTGATGATGTGAAAATTGATATAAGTGCAATACTTAGTCTCTTGTACTTTTCTAATCTACCAAATTATGGTGGTATACCTGTCCAGTTTAATGCTCAACATGCAAAGTTGATTGAAAGTTTGTGGTATTATGCACATGATGTAAATGATCACTTACACATTGTTTAACAATGCCATAGACCTATATAGAGTGGTGTGCCATAGAAGTTGTAAGGAAAGGGACTTCTTTTGGCTTAGTTTCTATAAGTCACAGGCATTTGTTCTGCAAATTAATACAGTATGTATATAATGTATGAAGTCATAGTTGTGCACAGTCTAATTGTATATTTTATTACTATAATGTGTATAAATATTAGAATATTTATTTGTGTGAGAGATTCATTCACCAAATTTTATATAGACTGTGTGTTTATATAAACTGCCATTCATTTACATCACACCAATTCTATATGAAAAAAGCAGCATTTCATTTCATCATCACTAATGTATAACAAGTCATTTCCTGGATTTAAAATAGGGTCACGTGTGAAATTAATTTACTTATTGGATATGTTTGAGGTATATATTTAAATGATAAAAAATTACCCAAACTTCTTCCAGTACCTCCAATACCGTCCCGTATTTTGTTACTTGACCTGTAGATACAATAGATAACACAGTTTGATTACTAAACCAATTTTCATATAGTTTACAAAATACCTTTTCTTTATACAGTATATCCAAAATAATGGAAGACAAACCTGTTTCTGATACTAGAATTTTATGGATAATGGTTAGACTTACCTATGCCTTAGATTACCCCCCTTTTATTAATATGCAAATTAAAAACTTAATAAAATGGTTATAATGAGAGGGAGGGGGACATGGTACTTGTGCATCATGTTTCATAACTTATGTAACTTACTCCAGCTCTTCTGCTGATGAAATTGCTTGCTAATTACTGTCATAACAGTTGCTAAGCACAATATTGTCAGTGAAAACAGAATTTCTGCACTCACCAATGCTTCACAGGTGACCCCATCCTTCCCACACCACCATCACTTTTTTCCTCTACCAGGTAGCACTGAATGATTCTTATGGCTTTTGCACTCTGTAAATAGTATTACAGTACAGTATATAAAAAAAAATAGGCTAAACCTGTATGGGGTATAAGCACTTTCCAAGACTGTAATTATACTGCAAACGTACACACTATAACTTGTATTCACTAATCTTGGAACAGACAACTGGTTGTTATATTCATGGAAAGTGCTACACCTATAAGAGTGATTCAGTGCTATGTAATGGACATTAATGTCTGGTATATTTATCACTACTGGACGGCTTATTAACACCATACTTTTATATTGTACACAATTTCTTAAAAGCTTATCTTAAAATAATGTATGGGACTACATTTTTTTACACATGAAATCCCCCCCCTCCTTTTTTTGGGTGTGCAAGTACTGTATCAGTTATCCCCCTTCTCTCTTGTCCTTTTTATTTAGATTTTGAAAGCCATACTGTATTTTAATCATTCTAAAAGTAAAAGATTAGTAACTTTAATCATTCTAATAATCTTGTTTCCCTTTAGGGGGTTTTGATACTGGTCGAACACCCTTGATTCAAGGAATTGTACCTATGGTACTCTCTTTCCTAAAGATCAAACCTGATACCTGCAAGTTTAGTGCTTCCCTGTGAATATATCATCATCCCTATTTAACAAGGATGAGATTCAAATCTGAAACACTTTTTAGAGCACAGTATAATCCTTCCCTTGCACTCTGCATCAATAGCTTTTGCAGCACTTTTTTGCTTGTAATGGCCACAGATTCAACAGCAGTACTATATATACTAATTTGAAAGCATTACATTTAAAATGAACTGTAAATGGGTCATAACACTAGTTCAAAAAGTGTCACACCCAGCTGTGCCCCTGATTGCCACATTCCTCCAGTTTGTATTTGAACTGTACCAGGTAAATAGGAAAAATGTCAGTTTATTTGTTCAAAAAAAAATGCACTAAACCACAAGTCATATGCTACCAAAAATAAGGTAACTTAGCATTGGAATACTGGATCTAGTACATATAGTTTTTACTTTATTTAAAAGTTTGAAGTAGGATAACATTGGGAGAAAGACAAGCACAAATTACATAATTTGGGAATTCCATAACTGCTTCTAGATCAGCTAATGCAGCTTTACCCATTAGCTTCATAATTATGTAAATCAAACTTTCCAATTTTTTAATTATTTCATACTTGCAGCAAAATTGGTTGAATAACTGCCTTCATTGTCACCTTCACATTCAGCCTTTAAATATTTATATAAATGATGAGCTTACTGTCTGTTCATAAATTCAAATTGTAAAACCAAAATTCAATCACATGTATGTATAGTACCTTCAGAAAATAAATTTTATACCTACTTATTTCATTTATGTAATAGTGTTATCTCTAACACTGTTATACAATAATTGTATCCTTGCATCATGACTGCAAGTGTCGCTAACTGTCCTCTTGTATGGTATCTGCTACAAAGATGTTTTGACTGCATACAAATTTGGCATACAAGAGCAAAGGATTTTTTTTTTTTTTGTTTCAACAAGTCAGCCGTCTCCCACTGAGGCAGGGTGACCAAAAAAGAAAAAATCCCCCCCCCCCCCCAAATACTTTCATCATCATTCAACACTTTCACCTCACTCACACATAATCACTGTCTTTGCAGAAGCACCGACATACAACAGTTTAGAAGCATATACTATAAAGATATATAACATATCCCTCCAAACTGCCAATATCCTATTTCCAGTACTCAAGTCTGGCTCTATAAAAATAATCTGTTTTCCTGAATCCCTTCACTAAATATTACCCTGCTCACACTCCAACAGCTCATCAGGTCCCAAAAACCATTCATCTCCATTCACTCCTATCTAACACGCTCACACATGCTTGCTGGAAGTCCAAGCCCCTCGTCCACAAAACCTCCTTCACCCCTTCCCTCCAACCTTTTCGAGGATGACCCCTACCCCTACAGATTTATATGCTCTCCAAGTCATTCTACTTCAATCTATTCTCTCTAAATGACCAAACCACTTCAACAACCCCTCTTCAGCCCTCTGACTAATACTTTTAGTAACTCCACACCTCCTAATTTCCACACTCCGAATTCTCTGCATAATATTTACACCACACATCATTATAATCAAAAAGAAGCACTAAGCCACAAGGGCTATACAGCTACACCCCACATTGCCCTTAGACAGGACATCTCCACTGCCTCCAGCCACCTCCTTGCTGCAGCATTTGCATCCCAAGCTTCACACCCATATAAGTGTGTTGGTACCACTATACTTTCATACATTCCCTTCTTTGCCGCCATAGATCATGTTTTTTTGTCTCCACATATACCTCAATGCACCACTCGCCTTTTTTCCTTCATCAGTTCTATGGGTAACCTCATCTTTCATAAACCCGTCTGCTGACATGTCAACTCAAAAATATCTGAAAACATTCACTTCCAAACTCCTCCAATGTAATATCCAATTTTTCTTTATCTAAATCATATGATACCCTCATCACCTTACTCTCATCTATGTTCACTTTCAACTTTCTACCTTTACACACCCTCCCAAACTCGTCCACTAACCTTTGCAACTTTTCTTTAGAATCTCCCATAAGCACAGTATCATCAGCAAAAAGTAACTGTGTCAACTCGCAATTTGTATTTGATTCCCCATAATTTAATCCCACCCCTCTCCCTAACACCCTTGCATTTACTTCTTTTACAGCCCCATCTATAAATATATTAAACAACCATGGTGACATTACACATCCCTGTCTAATTCCTACTTTTACTGGGAAGTAGTCTCCCTCTCTTCTACACACCCTAATGTGAGCCTCACTATCCTCAAACTCTTTACAGCATTTAGTAACTTACTACCTATTCTATATACTGTACTTGCAACATCTGCCACATTGCTCCTCTATCCACTCTATCATATTCCTTTTCTAAATCCATAAATGCAATGAAAACTTCCCTACCTTTATCTAAATACTGTTCACATATATGCTTCAATGTAAACACTTGATCTACACATCCCCTACCCACTCTAAAGCCTCCTTGCTCATCTGCAATTCTACTCTCTTACCTCTAATTCTTTAAATAATAACCCTACCGTACACTTTTCCTGGTATACTCAGTAAACTTATTCCCCTATAATTTTTACTCTCTTTTGTCCTCTTTCCCCTTATATAAAGGAACTATACATGCACTCTGCCAATCCCTAGGTACCTTCCCCTTTCATACATTTATTAATTAAACAAAAATACCAACCACTCCAACACTATATCCCCCCTGCTTTTAACATTTCTGTCATGATCTCGTCAGTTCCAGCTGCTTTACCCCCTTTCATTCTATGTAATGCCTCACACACCTCCCCCACATTCACATCCTGCTCTTCTTCACTCCTAAAAGATGTTATACCTCCCTGGCCAGTGCATGAAATTACCACCTCCCTTTCATTGACATTTAAGTTCCTCAAAATATTCCCGCCATCTACCTAATACCTCCAGCTCCCCATGTACTAACTCCCCTACTCTGTTTTTAATTGACAAATCCATTCGTTCCCTTGGCTTTCTTAATTTATCTCACTCTAAAATTTTTTCTTATTTTCATCAAAATTTCTTGACTGCCTCTCCCACTCTATTATCAGCTCTCCTTTTGCACTCTCTCACCACTCTCTTCACCTTTCTTTTACTCTTGTATAACACTTTTGCTTTGCAAAAACCTCTCATAAGCCACCTTTTTCTCCTATATCACATCCTTTACTTCTTCATTCCACCAATCACTCCTCTTTCCTCCTGCAACCAGCCTCCTATAGCCACAAACTTCTACCCCACATTCTAATACTGCATTTTTTAAACTATTCCAACCCTCTTCAAAACCCCCACTACTCAAACTTGCATTAGCCCACCTTTCTGCTAATAGTTGCTTATATCTCACCCTATCTTCCTCCTCCCTTAGGTGTTTATCAGATGTAAATTACCTGTACATAACACAGCACTTAAACCCACTATGACTTACGCATGCAGTAATACTTATGCGCAAGTTTCCCTACATGGCAATATGTATATATTTAAATAACAATATGTATATATTTAAATAACACTTTGGTGTTATTTAAATATAGTGAACAACAGTCATTGAAGTCATATTCTAAAGTTATATTAGCTCCTCTTTTCAACTTACCATAGTTAACATTATGGTCTTGCTGAAAAACATTCTTTTTTAGCTAATGTATCAACTTTTATGTTTAGAAGCTACAATTATTTTAACTCCTTTCACTGTTGCGGCCCCCAAAATTAAAGGTGCTGACAGTGCAGAGATTTAAAAAAAAAAAAAAAAAAAAAGTCTGAAATGAGAGAATGCTTTTCAGAGTAATGACACCAAAAATGCAAAATTTTATGAAAAAAAAAAAAAAAAAAAAAAAAAACTTTCAGAATTATGTAGGTGCAAAGTTGGTTTGGTTGCAATTTATGCATCAGCAATTTTGCCCACCGAGTCCTGTTTTAAGCAAATTCCAATGCTCGATTTGACCCAGTTCCTATTTTGTTCATGTGCCTTCTGTTCTATTGATTGAGCACAAGAAACTGCCTGTTTAACTATCAGAGCTACCCTATAATGTGCAAAGTCTAATTTGGCCAATTTTACACAAAAACATTTCAACTTAATAAATAATAGGCATTCCAGCCACTAATGCAACCTTTCTTATTTTCACTAATCACATCCCTAGGCCTCTCCTATATAACACTTACCTTCTAATTTGAATCCATTATCACAAAAAAAAATAAGTTAGTTTTACTACTTCTCAGATAACGAAATATAACCAAGAATGATTGGTCATGGTTGAAGCAATCTCATTAACTGAAGCAGACCTAGTAAAAACCCCATGAAACAGACCGGGTGGGCAAATTGCCCACTTTGAGCTCCATTTCTATCTGAAACCAACCAAAAATCTCTATTTCATTAGTATTTCTTCCAGTCTTTCAGGTGATATCAAGAAACACCAATAAAACCCTAGAAAATACTCAGAAGTTGCTATTTTACACCAATCATACACTGCATAGGGCAGAATTTTTTTCTTTTTATACTTTACCCACTCGTATCTAAGCAAAAATTCACCATTTGTAGCATATTTAAGGGAGCTGTGCTGAAAACAAATCTACATAAGCAACAATGGCATGAGTAGCAGATCTATGGGAGACAGTCAAAAGGATACTTTGCCTTTGCTTTACATCCACTCTGGAACTTCCTTTTCCCCTCCCTCCTTGGCAAATTCTGTCAATTCATGTTTACTCCTTCCTACCATGTGCAGTTCATTTGCCCACTACAATCTTATATTTACTCTTTCTTGAACAGTTCCAATTTAATTTTCATGCAATTGCATCAAACACTGCTGGTTCTAAATCTCCCAATGGTGCCAGGTATACAGCAGTTTCCTGAAAGAAGAATTGAAGGTCGTTTACTAGAGATGGCTAGTGTTTTCATAGCAGAGTTGTATGCCAATTCTCTGTCATACACATTACAATAATGTTCACTTCATCATTCATACTGTTACAATGCTATCCAGTAATTTCACTCTACCTCATCCCATTGTCTTGTAAAAAGAAAAAAAAAAAAAAGGCATTTTTTGCTAGTCCCTGGACATCTTGATCTTCAGAGCAATGTGTAACAAGCAGACTCAGCTGCTTAGTTCACTATTAATGACCTGATTTTCAAAAGGGGTATTCTCTTCTCAGACTATTTTTCAGTGCTCTCTCAACTCCACAACAGCTGGCAACAATACTAGTTCAACTCATGAAATCGTAATGACACAATTGTAAACAAACCACTGTATGGGTGGGGATTCAACTCACAGCTAGCGAGTTGTAAAACTCCAGACCGTTGCACAAGCTACTGGGCCAGCTGGCTACAATAAGATTTATCCAACTAGGTATATTTTTTATACCATAGGAAGGTTAGCATAGGCACCACTGTGACCACAAATGCAAGTTTTTTTTTGGTTGGTCTGAGTTGAACCCCCCAGCAAATTGTTTTTTTGTCAAACTGCATTTCAAGATTCTGGCTATCTTCCCACCAATTGGGTTTTGGAGAACCCACTGAAAATAAGTTGCTATCTTTTTTTGGGGTTATTCTTGGTAATTTACACTATTTATGATAACTGTACTTGTGTACCTGTACCTAAATAAACTTTCATATCAGATACTACTCATTCATAAATACCTCATGGAGAAACTATTGGAACTGCTCTGCGAGGATTGTTAGGTCAGTGTTAGTCCACCATGCCAACATAATATCCTCTCTACCAGCAGGCATGCAGGAGCCACTTCTGACATGTACTCTGCCCAAACACACTAACCTTGCTAAAAGTCCCATCTTTGACATCCATTTTTTAATGAAAACTAATTATTTTGCCAATTTGATTCACCTTTTTTTTTTATTATCTTGCATTAACCCCTACCCCCTCACTGCTAGCCTTTGCACATTCCTACTTTCACACATCCCTCCCTGCAGCTCTGCATGACCCTTACAGGTCATACAGAGCTGTAGAGCATTTGGCTTGTGAATTTTAAGTGAAGTTAAACATTATGGTGTGAATAACAAACTGTCAATATAGATCACTATAAATCAGCAAAACAATGTCAAATTAGGAAACAGTGAGGTATGTTCTGTGTAATTAGTCTGCAAGACCAAAACAGACATGACTATTAGAGTACTGCAAGACTAGCCAGGTCTAGCTTGGAGAATAAAAGCTGGGTCACTCAGGGACTTTACTTCAGATTTAATCATTCTAATAAATCATAATCCATATTTTTCTTCTATTGGGTATTTCAATTAAGTTTTGTATATAACAAGTCCTGCTGCACAGTATTAGCGAGTTGATATTTTAATATACAGTGGTCCCTCAATTATCGTCCTTAATCCATTCCTGGAAGTGGGACTGTTATTGAAATAGACTATTTTCGAATCAATTTTCCCCATAAGAAATAATGTAAATCCAATTAATTCGTTCCAGACACCCAGAAGTATCAACAATTTTTTTTTTACCTAAAAGATAGATTTACATGCACAAAAGAATGAACATTCAACATGACAGTTACCTTTATTGAAGGCTGTTGTTGATGAATGGAAGACATGGAGGAGAGAGGGAAGAGAGGTTATTGTTTGGAAGGAGAATCCCCCTCCATAAGGACTCGAGGTCACTTCCCTAGCATAAATATAGATTTACATGCAGAAAAGAATGCCAAGTAAATGTAAAGCACTAATAAAATGTATAAATGAACATTGGTAATACGGGTAGTTGATGAGTGGAACGGTCTGCCTAGTAGGGTGATCGAAGCTAAAACATTGGGTAGTTTCAAATTTAGGTTGGATAAATACATGAGTGAGAGGGGTTGGATTTGAGTCGGACTTGCACCTGAGCTTATTGCTTGGGTAGCATTTGTTCTGTTAGTGGGTTGGATTTGTGAAGGACTGGCCTAGTATGGGACAGCATGCCTACTGCAGTGTTCCTCCTCTCTTATGTTCTTATTGAAGACTTGTTTGTGTGAGGGTGGAATGGCAAGTTTATTGTTGGAGAATATGACACTAATATCAACTCTACGGCTTATTTATCTATCACAATTCAACTAATATGACATAATAAACAATATTAATAACATAGAAACATGGAATATACTCTAGAATGAATAAAATAAGTCATTACGTATGTCACGAGAGGTGTTGTGTTGTTGTTGGGTATATAAGGGCCACTGAGAGTAATGGTGGTGAAGCAGCAGATGAGGCGGTGGTGTTTTCTGTAGCCCTATATAACTCCCACAACATTGAAGGAGTTGGTAGAATCACTGAATCACTAAAGAAGGCACCCTCTACCACCTACCACTATTACAATTGCTACCACCATCACTACCACCACCTACCACTATTACAACTGTTACCATCACTACTACCTTCTACCACCATCACTACCACCCTCTACCACTATCACAACTGCTTCCACTCTACCACCACCACCTTTGTATTTTTCTACAAACTTTTTCATAAATTGTGAGTTTCTCACATTCTTTACCAAAGGGCTGGCACTAGAAGCATTCTTTGGAGCCATGGTGACTTATTTAGCAGTTGCAAGCACTAAAACGAATTGAATGTTATGAAATACACCTACCATCCGACCGAGTTTGGTTCCGAGAAACCAGTCGTAAGTTGAAATGGTCGTAAGTCGAACTTTACTACTGAATATCAACAAAACATTTTTGTAATGACTTGTTTTATTTTGGTATTTCATGTTTTACTTTACTTATGTTGTTAGTACTGTATTTTATACTGTAAGGTTTAGGATAAACACTGTGTACAACAAATAGTTATTTCCCAGAAATTTGGCATAAAAAACACGATCGTAAGTCGAGTGGTCGTAAGTCGAGCAGGTCATAAGTCGGATGGTAGGTGTATTTCGTATGAACAAGTGAGGGGACTGTCGCTCACTGGTAAACAATGGGACACTGGCTGGGAAGAGAAGCCGAGGTGGCTCAGAGCGTGAGTACGTGTCCTAGTTGAAGGACAATTAGCGAGTAAACCGACCATTTGCGAGCCAATGTTTGGACAAGAATAACGCGACGATTTCCGAAAAGGACGACTATCAAGCTGGACGATTATTGAGGGACCATTGTACAAGTGTTAAAAATTTATGGAGAAGCACTTGGCCCATAGGTCATGAAGCACATTTAGCATGCAAGGCAATAAAATATGCTCACATCAAGGAGAGAGTAGCTCTAATGCCTTGGATCAAGGCAACTCCCTTGAAGGGCCAAAACCAGAAGGCATAAGGAACCACAGCACCAAAAGGGTGCTTACCCTCCAATACTTGCATAACCCTAGCTATATACACCAGTCTACAGGTCAAGCTCCACACAAAAAACTAAACTTTTTACAAACCTAAGAAAATATTAAGCAAATCAGCATAGTCCAATGGAGTTGTACATAACTAGTACTATTCATTACTATTCCATTCATGGGGGTAGGGGAAAAAAGCCCATAATATCATGATACCTGGAGAAACGGGAGGTAATCACATTCAATCCAAGGCAGAAGTCGGGTTCGATTCCTTGGCTCACAAGCCCCTCACTCACATCAAGGAACTTCTCGAGAGTAGAGGAAACTACATTAGTGTGCAAATTAATTGGGACAGGAGTAAATTGTGATTATCCCATATGTTTTAGTCTCCGGTTTAATGTAGTTTAGGCTCTTTTCAGAGAAGTTTGCTACAGACTTCTGGCAACCATCTAGCTGTGGTGTTACCCTGCAACTCTTGTCAGTTTTACAACAGCTGTTCTGCAAGGCTATTCCTGCAAGCATGCTGTATGAGTGAATGTGGTTTTGCCAAATTCTCCCCTATAATACATGATTACTGCTGAAATTCATGATGGATGTTACACCTAGGAAGCATTCAAGTATTGTTGCTCTTAGAAAACATGCTGAATCAAGTATCAGACAGATCACCGAAAATTCGAGCCTAGTAAAATCCACTGTTGGTCAGATTCTGAAGACAGTTAATGATACTAGTGATTATGGAGCGCTGCATTGAAGAAGATGCAGAAGAAAATGCAAGACCACCTCACAATGACAAGGTAATCACAAGAAACAGCGTGAAGGATAATAAGAAAACCAGCAAAGATCTAGAGAGATTTGGCAGACCTGCCAGAAAGCCAGTAAAAAAACAATCAGACTGCTGCTATGAAGAAAAAACGGCTGCAGTGGGCACCCAAATCATAAGGAATGGACGACAGGTGAATGGAAAATAGTTATATTTTCAGATGAGGTGCATTTTGAAGTACATACATGGGTACAGGTAAGTGGTAGCAAGATGGAGCAAAGGTGAACCTCTTCAAAATGGAAACATTCAACAAGCACCGAAACACCTACCCGAGATGTTTTTGGGCAGTTTTACTGCTAAAGGCCCTGGACAGCTTCCCATTGTGGAGAGAGACTTTGATGGAGAAGGCATTTTCCATCAGAATCTTGCTCCATGCCACATTTCCAGAAAAATGCTGATATTCTCTTTAGAGAGTGGGCTAAGTATTCTAAATTGGACTGGAAACTCTCCTGGCCTCAGCCCAATTGATAATCTATTGTCAATAACCAAATGCAAGATTGGAAAACAGGACTGTTCAACTGTGGAGAATCTAATTACTGATGTTATTAGGACCTGGTACCACAATGAGAACTTGCCAAAACAAATTCAACATTGATCAATTTTATGCCAAAGCACGTAGCAATGCTTATAAAAGCAAAGGGTAGTCACATGTCTCATTAAATCAATTATCTGTCATATCACTGCTGTGTATTTTTCAAACATTAATTTTCCACATAAATGTCTTATTTTATCACTGTCCCAATTAACCCTTAAACAGTCCAAACGTATATATACATTCTCTCGCACAGCGCCCCGAATATTTTGAGAAAGAAAAAATAAATTTTTTTTTACAGGAAAAAACAGCATGTACCCAGGTGTCCCTAATTTTTTTTTTATATGGCACACACCCGTTCTCTCATGTCTAGGCGACTCAGACATATCGTGCCAATATTGAATGAATGACAAATGAAATGTATATATACGTTTGGGACGTTACGCGAGAGAACGTATATATATATTTGGACCGTTTAAGGGTTAATATACACACTACTGTAATTAATCACCAAAAGGCCAAACCTCCAAGACCACAGAAAATGAGAGCATGTACAGGTTTAAGTGGCAGCACTACTGGTATTTCTGCTATCACTCTTAGCACATGTTGATGGGGAAGCACTAACCTAGCATGCAAAGCCCCCAAAAAGTGCTGATCAAAATTGTCCTTCAACACAAAATAGCCTGCCCTCAAAGCCATAATGACAAAGTGCAAAGATACTATATATACTCAAATTATAATAAAAGCCAAACCCTCAAGGGTCATACAGCACTGCAGTTAGCCTAGAAACTAATTTTAGACTGAAAACTATTAGACCTCCTAAATAAAATATAAAAAAAAAGAGGTTTATGGGTAGGGTTTAATAAACCAGAAAGGCCTGTGAAATACAGAAAAAGAAAAGTAAATAATTATATATTTATTATAAGAAAATTTTTGGTTACATTTTTCATGCTCCCATACATGCGCAGAACCATACGTTGTTGTTCTCTTTGCAAAACCACTTCAGACAATTACGCAGTTTCAAAATTAACAAAACTATTTAAAAATTCTGTAAGTGTTAAAATACTTGTACCTTAGCAAAATTCAGCTGTAGCTGTAAGTGATTAATGACTAGAAGAGAACAACAAATCACCAAAGGAGAGGAATCGCACATTTTTTTTTTGTACTTAATACCGGTAATGCTCTGGCTTGAAAGGTCCATCAACGGGAAGTCCCAAATATTCAGACTGAGTAGCATTGAGCTTTGTCAGCTTTACCCCTAGATGGTCAAGATGAAGCCGAGCTACTTCTTCATCCAATTTCTTTGGCAGGAAATGAACTCCCACAGGGTACTGTCCTGGTTTTGTCCAAAGTTCAATTTGTGCAATGACTTGGTTAGTGAAGGAATTGGACATCACAAATGATGGGTGACCCATAGCACAGCCCAGATTCACCAAGCGGCCCTCTGCAAGTAGGATTACATGGTTGCCAGACTTCAAGAGGTATCGATCAACCTGAGGCTTAATGTTTATCTTCTCCACACAATTCTGATCTAACCACTTCACATCAATTTCAATATCAAAGTGGCCAATATTGCAGACAATAGAATCATCTCTCATCATATTGAAGTGCTCCCCAGTAATAATGTCACGGCAACCTGTAGTCGTCACAAAGATAGATGCTCCTTGTTTGATGGCTTCGTCCATGGTGGTAAC